AAGAATTATGAAAATAACAAAGGACCTATTGGTAAAAAAACATAGCTATGGAATTGGAATGAAAATAAAAATGAACAGAAGGATTGCAGAAAGGAGTTCAGGAACTCACTAGCTTTAGAGGAACCCTGAGGCCTGAGCAGATGCGCATAATTATTTAGATCCATAAATCAAGACTATAACTTGATTATTTGAATAACATAATATGTTTTAGAGGAGAGGACGTGTTTTTTTTCCAAAGTAAAAGATTAAAAAGAAATGCTTTACAGCCGTTAACTTTCTGATTAGCATAATACTTAAATGATGTGGAATGAAGGGATTAGGGTTCCAGAAATTAAACATACCATCGGAAGATTGGTAATCCCCCTGGCACGTTCTTCAAGTGTATGTTGATATTGGGAATGTGGGAGATCTTGGACCATTCGGGGCCCCTCTTTTTGGCGCATCTTTTCTTCAATTTCGGACAATCCCAAATTCCAAGATATTTTAAGTTGGAGAGGCCTCGCATGGCTTCAATAGAAGGCAGATGAGTCAAATTAGAGCAATCCCAAATCTCCAGCCAATGAAGAGAAGACATGTCTCCCAACCACTCTGGCAAAGCTTCCAGGCCATTGAACTTCCTTAACTTAATTCCTTGAGGTCAGTGAGATGTCGAAGCTGATGTGGCAGAGACTTTAGTTTATCCCATCCGTACAAGAACAATACTTCAAGCGAGGGGTGGAATTGATGAATGGAGGTCAATCCTGGGAATTCCTCCAACTCCGACCAAAAAGGACCAAAGCGTAACTTCTTCAAGCGGGTGAGGCTATCTAGCCACTCCTCTGGAAGGCTCCTTAGATTTTCGCAAAATGCTATTTCAAGAATACTGAGAGAACGCAATTTCTTGATATCGTCAGAAATGAAAATTAAATTAGGGCAAAATTGAATTTTCAACTTCTGAAGTGAAATGCAAGAGTCCAGCCCAATTGGAAGACACGTTAATCCATCGCAACGAGAAAGGCGGAGGTAATCAAGAGATGTCAACCCATTCATAGTTGGAATGGTGTTCAGATTTCGGCAACTTTCAATTTGCAAGAACTGAAGAGAGATGCTGGATCCAAGCCCAATTGGTAGACTTGTTAATCCATTATTGCCCTCGAGCCCAAACCTTTTAAGAGTTGAGAGCCCATCTAAACTAGGGATAGCCATCAGTTTCTCACACCACTGTATCTGCAGCATAGAGAGCTTATGATGAGATGAAAATCCGCCCATCGACCAAGTCTCCAACAAAGGACAACCATGAATCTGCACATCCTCAAGGCAAGGAAACACGATCACACCTTGGCTCCCTGCAGCTGCATCCTCGACAACTTCAACCCATTCCTCTAGCCTTTTCATGCCATATACACTGAGTGTTTTCAAAGCTGGGAACAATCTGATTGATTCTGCTCCGCCAGGCTGAAGCTTGTGACCCATTCTTCTAACATTATCCATTCTGTTAATGTGAAGAACTTTGAGAAAAGGCAATAGTCCCAAACTCGGAATACACGTGCACTCATTGCAATCACTTAACTGCAACTCCACCATGTTGTCAAGAAGGAATGATGAACCAAAACCATTGATATCATTCCCCATCCAAGATGGGAACATCTTTCCTTTGTAACCATCAATAGTGAGGCTTTTCAAATTTGAATGAGGTTGAAGGCTTTCTAGAAC